ATATTCCTTTGTAAGTTTCGGTTGAGGAGAACAACTAAGAATTTTTCTGTAATCCTCCTTTTCTTGGAGGCCAAATGAAGGCTAATATTTGAGCAATGTTGAGACTTACCTTTAAACAAAATGTGCAGAGAATTCTACTGGCAAGCACTGTTTACAGTACAGCTAAACATATATACATATACCTAAATTCTCTGGAGAAAACAGTGATGCATGCGTCTTTGGATAGGTGCATTTCCAGCACTATTTGAATTGTAATGACTATGAGATCACTAATATTTCTACTGCTGAATGGTCTACTATGTTAAATAGTAATTTCTTAAAAGTCTCAATAAAATATATGTGCCTCACCCAACTTAACATCTGCCCAAGAAAATACATGGTCTTATATTATGTTTCTAGGATTGTAATTACATTAACTGAAGAGGATTGTATCAGATGATGATTGATGTGATAACATGATACTATCATAACTTCATCATAATGTTACCCTTTTGTCTCATGACACAATTTTCCTTCTGAAATATGGTTATTCCCACACAGCTTTTGCTGATTAATGCCCTAAGATGCATAGGAGTCATTTTTTCATTTAGTTACTCAACCAGCAACTGGAAGTTCCTTGAAAAAGTATCCACAGAAGCCCTGGTGATCTGGCTTGCTAAGGACTGTAAGGACTGAGGACTTCTGAAGTCACATAGGAAAAAGATGTCAAATTACTTTTTTACTATCTTGAGACTAAGAAAGCGCTAGCAGAGAGTAATTTTCTGATTCTATTGATGAGCTGCTTTATGATCTTAAGCAAATTTATTTATTTTTATGAGTTCAGTTTCTGCTTTTATGCTGTGGTTGTCAAGGGCTTTCATAGATACTTTAATGTAAGTTATCATATGGGAATCTTCCAGTGGCTTCCATGTGATTAACTTATTGAAGAAATTTCTGTGAAGTAATTTATATGAAGAAATTTAAGCCTGCATGTAATCTTCTAAGGGCTTGGCTATAAAAGTATATAAGCATATAATGAAGTCTTTCTTACTTCAAGCAATGTAAAAACAGCAAGTGCATTTTTTTTTAAAAAAAACACCTTTTAGCATCGGAGATCTGATTAACAGCAAAGGTCTGGTGACATTTATTTTGAAGTAGCTTCAAAGAGATTAAATCAATCAGTAAAGCAGTTCCACAAGGTATTAATGTTGGCATTAGTTATTGCTAAGAGTAAAACAAAAATCATGTGCTGAAGTGCTTAATTTCTTCATATATCAGATAACATTTATTACCAGTGTAAACTGAAATAATTTTTCCACATGCAGTCACTGATTTTGTATGTTGCTGAATAAGATAGTATTGCTTGATCAAAAAAATGTAAACCTTCCCAAAGCTTTGAAATGGCTCCCTTGGTTTTGTGCAATGAGATATACCCAAATCCTAGAAAGATGAATGAAATGGAATCACCCAGTAGAACTTCTGCCTTTGGTCTGCTGAAACAGGAAAAGATACATAGAAAAATAAACCCCATCCCATAGTTCTTATCTGTAACCACTGTTATGCTGTTATTTCCAGCAAAAAGGCAGATTCTTGGCATGTAGGGGGTAGGAGTTGGCTTGCTATGTGTCTAAAGACATGTTTGAGTCTCAGTTCACACTGGTGCTAGCAATCAATTGTAGCTCATAAGTACGTCATTACTCAAACTAAAGACTGGAGGGCCAAAGAGCTCTCATGCTGTTGGAGATGCTTGTTAATAAATAAGTCACTGTGTACTGAAACCAGTGTGTTTTACTGTCAAGGTTTGCTGAATTGCGTACATTCACATAAGCCACTGTGGTGGTGTTTTTTGTTTTTTTTTTTAATTTGATTTTCACAAAGCTTATTCTCTTTGGAATATTTATCTGCTTCATAGTGTCCTTATAGCTCAGGATAAGAGCATAATTGTAGGTACTGTAAGAAAACTATACTTACCAGGCCCTTGCTGATAAAAATTCTGCTTGAAATACTGATCTAAAGTGTTTTAATACCATGAAATTACTTAGCAAAATCCTAAAAAAGGTGCAAATCATTGAAGGTTCTGGTAAGTTTAACTGATATAGGTTGGTATACTTCTTCTGACTTTAGAGGAGGAACAGCAGAAGACCTGACCCACAATAAACCCCTTGATCCTACACCTTTTGTTGGTTTTGCTTATAAAAGTAGAGATTTTTTGGACATATCTGCATTACTTATAACAAGGTTATGAGCTTTTTTGAGAAAAAAACAACCTCTCTTACTGTATTAGTGTTTTTGATATGTTTTTCTTTCTTTAAACTTTGTTTACTACTGGTGGTGATGTTTTCTGGAGATTAGGTGATGTTCCAGTTGTTATGATTAATACTTCTGGGTGTGACAGGTTGAAGCTCACAGTATTGATAGAGTACATTTATACTTGTCAAATTCTTCTAAAATTAAGAGTCTTAGCTGGATGTAGTAATTTGTAACAGCATTTTGTGTTCTGGGAAAATATCAGTCAGCAAGGTTTTATTACCTTTGTTAAAATAATGTAGTTAGGTTAGTTTTGATAAAATTATTCTAAAGGTTTCTTCTCATTTTAAATATTGATATGAATGTGAAAGTGGAGGACTAGTTTGTCTTAAAAGTTTTCCTTTTGTAAGTATACATTTTAATTCTAGAGAGAAATCAAGCACAGCATGAAAAGGAAGTGGAAACAGTAACACTGAGAATGAAGCATCCAAAATAGAATATCAACTATTTTTTTGGAAAAGGATTCTTAATAAAATACAAAAATTGCCAATTGTAAGCTTTGCTAAAAACTATATAATGAACTAATCCCTGCATCTCCTGTTTTAAAGAAACAAGGAGTTACTGTACACATCAATTAGTAGGGAAAACCACAAGGGAATATATTTTCTACGGTACTTTAATGTGCATTAGAGAGTGAAACATAAATATAAGACCTTTCTTACTTCTGTATTAGTAAGCTCTGTTTAGAAGTGCATGGAGAACAGAGAGCTGTCTGAGGCATTAAATAAAGTAGGAATGGGAACTTCAGGTTGGGGGCAATAGCACCGCATTGATCCATGCAAATGAAAGTTTAATTGTCTGAAGTTCCCTCTTCTATTTTATGTGGGTCATTTACAGTAATGCATAAAATGCTGATCATTTCTTAAATATTTAAGCCTGTAATGCTAGCCAGATGGGTCCCTAATTTCTTTCTTCACCCATGGCTATCATGATTCCTTCCATTAGAGTTTAGCTCTCTTCCATATTTCTCTGGCAACCTCTTGATCTCATTGCATTAGTTGTCTCCCTCCCTCAGATAAATTCTTCATGTATTCCTATCTGATACCAATTTGTTCCTCTGGTTCAATGTATAGTCAAGAGAGTAATTTATTCATTTTCAATAGCACCACTGAAATCACAGAAGTACTTGATACCCTGATTTATTAAGGCACTTGAGGTCAGTGCCTTAAGCATGTGTTAAATATGAAGCAAATGCCAGCACAATGTGCAAAGGATTAGTCACCTGCATAATAGTTTGCAGGGTCCTTAAAAATGAAGGTGCGGAACAGATTTGATACTGGTGTAAGGTTAGTGGAGCTGTACTGAAAGCTAAATGATGCTGACAAAGCTTTCAGTGGAATTATGGCATGTCTACACTAAGCCTTCCACTTTTCTTGACCTGTGCCATGCTGATGCATTATGATATGCCAAATATAAAAATCAAAGTTAGAAAAAGGCTTCCAACATTTTTAATTGTTCATATGACATTTAGTGTTTAAGAAGACTGTTAGCATCTTTGTAAGAAATTACATCATTGCAGCATATCATTTTTTTACATTTGATTTTGTAGGGTCATATTGTCATGCTCTTTCACATTTGCTTGATGATGGGATATCTGTGCTGTCACTGCCACCTCACTGCTAATGAATATAGGAATTGCAAAGTGGATAAGACAGCATTTAGATACCCTAGATTTGCAAGTTAAAGTATTTCTTGTGTCATAAATGAAGATGTGTTTTGTATTAGGAAGCTGTGGAGGAAACAAGAATTTGTATTTTCCTATTGAGTCTGAAATTTCTTCTCATTATGACTATGAACTCTCTTTTTTCCTTTTCCTAAGGAACTGTTTTGTATAGAGATGTTTCAGTCTTTGTGGTCCTTTTTTTTTTCTTCCCTTACAAGAGGTTCACCTCTAGCTCATGTAAAATATTTTGATTATGAAAATATATCCTTGCAAGTGAGGTGGCAAAATGTTTTAAAATTTAAAGATCTTGTGCAAATATATTATTCTGCATGAATTCACAGTAGTTATTGTGTATCTTTTTGTAATTAAAACTATAACTTGATTCCAGTGATTAGGAATAATATTTTTAAAATTATAGGACAGATTACAGACTTTTATATAGTGCTATTTTTGCAGATATTTAAAGCATTCTCTTTGTAAATTCCATTTATAATAAAATAATATTCTGTTTTAGGAGCAGCATTATTGCATTTCAGAAATAATATCCTGTAAAATGCCTGTAACAAGGTATTTTATCTGAAGCCCATTGTAGCTTTCTTATTATGAGTTTCAAGCTTCTGCAACAATAAAAGTGTTCTTATTCAAATGTATATTATCACATTCATTCCTCTAATAGCAGCATTCCATCATATCAACCTATAAATAGACAAAGAAACAATTGCATGGAGTGCTTTTCATTCATATTAAATATTTTTTAATTTTGTTGTTAGATACCAGACTTTGGAAGTCGTATGGAGTATTTGCATCGAATACAGAAAGAAAAAGTTGTTTCCTCTGAGTATGCACATGCTTTCAAATCTGTGTTTCCTTGGGATATAAAGTTACTGGTTTAGTTCCATTGGTCATTTTTATTGCCTTCCTAAAGACAATGAAAATTGTACAAGGCTCCATTTAAAAACATCTCCAAGTGTAAATTAAATCTATGGTATAGTCTTTTGTAAATAGAGATCTTTTTCTGTATATCAACAAGATGTCTATTTTTTTTTCCTAGATACACCTTTAGTTAAAATCATTTCTTCCAATTCATGGCCTGAAGAAGGACAATCTATAATTTTGACTTGTGAATCCAAAGGAAAACCAGTGTAAGTGATTTAACAAATAATATGTTTTTGTTATTTTCCTTATTCTGCTGTGATTGCAATCTTCAGCTGCAGAAATCTGCTGTTTTTGTCTTGTCCTGGGGTGTAAAGTAATCTCTGGTATAGAAAACCCCTTGAAGCCTGTCTTCATTAAGTGTCTGTAGAAGATTGGTCTTTTACTTTGTCATCTATTTTAGTTTGCAGGAAGAATTCCAGCTGTGAGAATATTATTTTTTTTCAGTCAGGTATATCAACCCAAAAGGAGTGCAGGCTTAATCAGTCACTGTTTACATCATTGATAGAAGAGAAAACGTCTCATGAAAATCTTCCTACATCAACTAGCCTCGGAGAAAATATATTGAACTTTCTGGATGCTTTGGCTGTCATTTACTTAATTTGAAGTCTAATGATATGTGCAAGTGGGCTGCATGTTTCTACTAGAATTTGAAAAGATGTAGCCTGCTTTAAGAATATCAATTGTTTTACTTGGAAATTAACATCTCTGCCATTGATACTTTTTAAAGGCAGATCTGCAGAGATTAACTCTTTCACAGAATCTACTATTTAAATAGACTTCACGCTCAGTATTTTCTCAGATGAGCTGTTATGTATTTACTCATAAAGATACATAAATAATCCAATTGCTTAAGATTAAGTTATGGTGATCCAAGTTTCTTAAATATTGACCTTCTGCTCATAAGATTAAGGTATAGTGTTATATGGAGTGGTGATACACACCTTTAAAATGCTCTTTAAAATGATAGGGCGCTAGTATTTTGGTTCTAGAAAAGGTGCAAATTACATAGCAAAAATAATGTAATTTAGGGCTGAATTTCTCCCTGGTGTAACTTCAGTTACCTTATGGAATTGCTTAATGTAGGAACCTGAAATCCAATTTAGGTCAAGTCAGGCATTTAAGTCCAAATTTTCTATTCTGGAAAGCTCTTCTGAGTTTAGTCTGGCATCATTTAAACTCCGTAAGTTCTTTTCTTTTTAATATTATATGCCTGTATCATTTTAATGCAACTTCTCTATCCAAATCTAAACTGGGCTTAGCAATTCAGCATCTAGTTCATGCATCTACCCTGCTTGAGACCAAAATATTAGGGGTCCATCCAGTTAGTCTTACGTGGTGTTCAGGGCAATTGGTCTTCTTTGTACCTATGTACTTCTGAAGTAATAGATGTTTCTGAAATAGACACCTCTGTAGGTAACTCACAGAATTCAGTTGCGAACCACCTCTTGCTTTTATAATATACTTAAAGGAGAAGGAATTCTCAATTTACCTAATAGCCTTTGAGCTTTCCCCTAGGTATCAGGAGGTACAGAGTCCTTTCCCCCATTATTTTCAAATTCCACTGAAGATATGCAAGTGCTTAATTTTAGGAAAGACGTCAGCCGTGATTGCACTACTGGCTAAGTGACATTTAGGATTTTCCCTGTCTCAGTGTTTTCCTCATGACTTAACAGGTGACAGCTGCCTGCCAAGTGCTCTGTTTGGCATAGACTAGGCATCCCAGCCTCAGGTGCTTGATTTTCACTATTAATCTAACAGTGACTGTAGAGGTAAATATTAGAAGTAAGGTGGTCATTGTATATTTTTCTATTATTATTTGTTAATTGTCGTGGGGGGAGGGGCAGTTTTTCCCTTCACATTTAGAGTCTTTAAATAATAATAAAATTTGGAAGTTATGGGTTTATTTCTTCTTTTTGTTTTTTTAGTTTTATGAGACAGACAGCTGGATGTTTGGACAGATGGATGTAATCATTATGCAGGGGGAAAGGGGGAAGAGGTGGATAATACCAACTAGGGTTCTGGCCCTCCAATGCTTTCACCTGCATCTGAGCATTATGCCTTTCAGTTTCTGAGTGTATGGGAATCATTTCAACTATCTTTAAACATCTGCACAGTAGATATTGACATCTGAGCTGCTCACTTGAGCTTCCCTTTGGATTCAGTGGAGAGATTTGAGCACTATTATGACGTGACTGGTCTGCTCTACATTATACAACTACAGAAGAAAGAGCTAGACTGGATCAAAGCTCTGCTACTTTCTCTCCACTAACTACATGATTTTAGACTGTTTCTTCACTCAGATATCTACCTCTATATTTTTGGTATACCAAATATAGATGTCTAAATATAGACATTAATATCAAATTTTGTATCTCTCTTTAATTTTGGTCAGATGCATCTCACCCTGTCTACAACTGATAACATTTTAATAATCTTCATTGAAAATGAGATAACATTTTTTTTCATTTGCCAAAGATGTTAAACTCTGTTAAAAAAAAAAAAAAAAAAAAGAAAGAGAGAGACAGTCCTTTCAGGTATTAGATTTTCCTGTAGACCCCTATATTTATTAGTCATTTCTGAAGGCAGTAAAAAATTTAGAAGTGGTATGTTTTAGCTTCACATACACAATATTTTCTATTTGGTACACATAATGTTGTAGATATCCTTTATATGTTACTATTAGATGACACTAGTTAAAATATAATAATGAAAATGGAGCTTCAATTGAGGTGTTTACTGATTTATTTGGGTTTTTTTTTAATAAAACTCAATCACATCCTTAATGGATTCAAATGCAAACCTTACATATGGTTTTGAAAGGGCAGCCAATTAAAAACTCCACACCACAGAATTATCAAGGCAAGGCACCTGTATGTGGTAGCCTTTGGGGCACACATATTTTGCCAATAAATGCACCTCTAATTGTCCATGCCACAAGAGCTCCCAACATCAGCTACTCTGGATTGCTTCAGTAGGTCAATCTTTCACGACACATAGCCAGTAATAAACAGGCATCCTCCTGGGAGCAGTTTGCAGTTGCTTAGCATGAGAAACAGTAATATCATGCTCCCAACCTACATTATGACTTCCTTCTGGCTTATAGAAAGAAAGAAATTGTTGAGGTCCACAGAGCCCAAATATGTCAGTGTCACAAGATAAGTGATGAACTGTGGGCTTCACGGAGAGTTCAGAGCCAACCATGGTCTATCATAGCCATTTACACACCGTTGGTTAATTTCTGTACGCTGTCAACTTCATGTCCCAGTTGCAACAGTCTCTCCTGTTACCTGTAGGCAGCAGTGACTCATACTAGTAAATGAACAGTTACTTATAGGTACATTTCTCTTATATCTCAGAGCAATTTTCACAAGCTTCAGAATGACATTAGAGATGAAAATGGAGAAAGAATGAAGCTGAGTTGTGGCTGTGGTGACATTCATGATAATGATAGCTGCTGCAGAGTAATTCTTTCCCAAAAGGGAAAAGCAGAATGAGACTAAAGCTGGAACATACTTACCCCATCTTACATCTCATCACCAAGCCTCTCCTTGCAGGGATTCTGTGCCTCAAACCATGTGCGTTATGGATACCCAGATATTGTGCTTCAAGGCTACAACACAGTCCTAACTAAGAGCCCTACCGAACTTACTGTCTCGCAGCAGGGAACAGGAGGGAAGCCTTGCTCAAGCCATCACATCTGCAGCATCGATTGTCATAGTGTGTGAGATGGGCTGGAATTATCCCAGACTTTGAGGCTGCTAGTTGCTATGAATGCATTCATGACACCTCACATTTGTGGCAGAGATAGCAATGTATGAACAGGGGTTGTGAGAGTGAGCTAAGGGGGAGAATTTTTGGAATGGAGGAGAGGGTGGAGAGGAAAATGAAAATGTAGGTGAGTCATTTTGAATGATCCAGTGAGGCAACATGAGAGGGTGTAAGATGGGATGCACAAATTCTGTAACAATGTTGTTTTATCTCTCTGCTCATCACTGTGAGTATGAGGATGAGCATGAGCATAGCTCTGACTCTGGTCATGATCTTTTGCTTATTGCTATTAGGGGAATTACTTTGGAGGCAGGAGCTGTTCTTCTGGGTAAGCACTGTATTGCTGCTATAGAAGTGTGGTGATACCAGTAAATAGAACAGGCCAGGTTTCCTGCCTGTTCTGCAGTGGTTTTGCAGTGTCAGGCCACATGGAGGATTAATAAAGTGTCACAGACCATTACAGACTCTACTACAGTTCCCTTTAGAATATGTATTGTGTCTGGTACAGCTTCAAGCAGAGGTAGGCTGCCTGATTGATGCTGAGTTTACTGCAAAAGCCACTGGTCCTTGGGTTTGCTCCTGAGGGCTCTATGGGACATGAGTCCCATGACACCAGTCCCATGTGGTGGGATGACATACTGACCACAGTGTGGAGTCAGAATGGGAGTGGTAAGATGGTGAGGGGAGGAGGCTTCCTCATGCATTGCCTTCCAAAAGACTTGCCTCTTGCTTCCATATACAACTCTGGCTAAATTTATTGCCTCTAGGAACTAGCATCAAAGCTTGAATATTCTCTAAAAAAACCGAGTTACGCTTACGGATAGAGACCTCTGAGTATGATGATGTTGTGGTCCAGTTTGTGTAGCACCAGCTATAAACAACAGTGGAAGGCTGGTGTTTGAAAATGAACTTGCCTAATATGTCTGTATAGTGTCAGTGGCTCTTTTTAATCAATGCATTTTAAACATAATATTGTTTTACCTAGGCTTCGTTTATTTCCCAAACAAGGAAATGTCATTAAGCTTCAAAAATCATAGACATCCTTGTTATGAAATCATATGCAATGTCTAGACTTTTCTGAAGTCATATTGTCTGACAATATTTTGACTATTTTAAAATAAACAAAAGAAAGCTGTAAAACTTAAACACCAAAGAACAAAATGATCTTTTACAGTCATCTGTGCTTACAAAAGATTTTAAAAGCCAGTATTTTCTTATTGCAAGTTGTAGCTTCTACACACCGTTGTGTCTTAACAATATGGTCTAGTGACTCAAGACTGCCCCAAAAGTGAACTCAAAAACTACCACATAATGAAATAAAGGTTCAATATTTAATATTATAAGTTAGTGCTTTCACCAAAGCATGCATGAAATATGTTGGTTTTATTTTTTTATTCAGTGTCATTTCAGCAGAAAGGATGTCAAAATATAATGGAAT